AAAAATCATTGTGCTCATAGAAGATTATAAACCATATGCAATAAAAGTCAATAGAAATTACTAATTCTCTCAGCTTACACCATAGCTTTTTCAAAAGTAGAAGTTGGAGAAGTTGTTGTGACCAATTCATGGAGTCAGATGTCTAATGTCAAAATTTCCAGCTAACGATTAAAAAAATGTGTTTAATTATCAAGGATATGTAACGTAATTAAAGAAAAAAATTAACAAGTTTAACCAAATAAAACCAAAAAACCTGCTGCCATCCAGTTGATTCCAACTCATAGTGACCCAACAGGACAGAGTAGAACTGCCCCATAGGGTTTCCAAGGAGCAGCTGGTGGACTAAACTGCCGACTTTTTGGTAAGCAGCCGTAGCTCTTAACCACTGACTCATCAGGGCCCCTTACCCACACAGGAAGTACCAATAAAATAGTTTTATTTGATATGCGTATGCATACTTCAGCTTCATATTCATATTTCATTCAATTACTATATTTCCCAGATCAAGTGTCCTTTGAGGAGCCCTGGTGGCACAGTGTTTAAGCACTCGGCTGCTAACCAAAAGGTCAGAGGTTTAAAGGTACCAGCCTCTCCGCAGGACAAAGATGCAGCAGTCTGCTTTTGTAAAGATTACAGCCTTGGAAACCCTATGGGGCAGTTCTTCTCTGTCCTACTAGGTCATTATGAGTTGAAATTGATTTGATGGCAATGGGTTTGGTTTTTTGGGGTTTCAGGCGCCCTCGAATATATGTATATATTTCTAAAATCAGAAGACCTAATCTAAAGAGATCAAGGCAGAGGTTACAAAAGTAGCATGTCACTATAATGATGCACAAAACGCTAATGGCCAAAAGTGATTCAGAAAAATCTTAAGACTTCCAAATAAAAGATGGCTTGGATTCAAACTTTGATTATGATGCCAAAAAAGCAAGAAAAATGGATAAATGTTTATTATCACCGGTTAGTTTAAAAATAAAAAAGACAGAAAAGGTAGTGTTGTTTTTCATTCCCTGAAAAAAATACATCTTTCAATCAGTGACGCTTTAAAGAGTCAAAAAGAAAAAATCCAGTAATATCTACCTTGAAACTTTTTGGTGAGGATTAAATGAGATTATAAGTAAAACATTTACCACAGTGCTTCACACACACAGTAAGCATTCAATAAATTATTATTATTATTGATCACATCTTGAAAAAACATTAATTTAAAAAACAAATGACAACAAATTATTCTCTACTTTTATAAACCTTGCCACAAATATAATAGCTTAAAAACTATATTAAAAGGAATATTTTCTTGGAATTTTTAAAATTTTCTAATTACAATTTTTATACATAATAATTATGGCAAGAAGTATTTCATTAGGGAACTTCTTCAACGTGATAGAGGGCATTTATGAAAAATCCACAGCTAACATCATACTCAATAGTGAAAGACTGAAAGCCTTCCTATAACATCAGGAACAAGACAAGTATGCCTACTTTCACCACTGCTATTCAACAACATTGTACTGGAAGTTCTAGCCAGGACAATTAGGAAAGAAATAGAAGGCATCCAAATCAGAAAGGAAGTAAAACTATCTCTGTTTGCAGATAACATGATCCTACACATAGAAAACCTCAAAGAATCCACAAGAAAGCTA